CTCCATGATCAGATGTTGCTTTCATGGAAATGCACCATTTTACTCCATTTACCTTTAGATATACATTAATGTGAACACACCATTGCTAAATATATGTCAGCAAAAGATAATAAGGGCTTAGTTGCAGGGTTGAAAACATTTGCAAGAGTCACAACTTCTGTGCAAAAGCAAAAAAACAAATCACAGTTGGATTATTCACTTCAACTTTTTGGCTTTTGAGAGTCTGCATACAACATTTTTAATAAATCTCAACTGCGTTCAAATTACCACAGAAATGGCTAGAAAGAAGCAACTGAGTAAAGAAAACAAAAGTACACATTTGTACATTGAGGAAAGAAGGATACACAGAAAGAGAAATTGCAAAACGCTTAAAGGTGTCTAACAAAGGAGTCCACTACACTCTGAAGAGACTAGAGGAACCTGGAAGTTATGATGATAGAAAAAGGCCTGGACGAAAGAGAGTTACTACAAAAGCAGAGGATAAACATAGCATTGTCACAAGTAAGAGAGATCAGTGAAAGACAGCACCACAAATAAGGGAGAAAATCAACATGATAAGGTCGAAACCCATATCTCTTACAACCGTGAAATGACATTTGAGAAAGGCTTAAGGGTTGTGTATCTGCAAAAAAAACGACTACTTCATCCACAGAACAAGAAAAAGAGATATTAGTGGGCAAAAACTCACAAAAATTTGACCTATGATGACTGGAAACAAGTTATCTGGACTGATGAAAGCAAGTTTGCACTGTTTGGTTCAAAATGCAGAGTCTATGTCCACAGACAAACTGGTGAATGTCTGAAAGCACCATGTGTTACACCCACAATTAAGCAAGGAGGTGGTAGTTCCATGGTATGGGGATGTTTTGCAGGAGATACAGTAGAAGATTTGTTTGAAGTAAAGGATATTATGAAGAAGCAACAGTACCACTCTATCCTCCAGCACCATGCTGTTCCATCTGGACTCAGACTTGTGGGTCATAAGTTTGTTTTTCATTAAGACAATGACCCTAAGCATCCTGCCAAGCTCTGTCAGGGTTACCTAGACAAAAAAGAAGAGGAAGGTGTTCTTCAAAAGATGGTTTGGCCCCCTCAGTCTCCAGACCTTTCTCCAATTGAGCTTGTGCAGGATGAATTGGATCGATCGGTCAGAAAAACGCGTCCCATGAATCAGCAGTCTCTTTTTAATGAACTTAAGAAAGCTTGGAATGCAATCCCTGGACCATACCTTAAAAAACTTGTGGACGAATGCCTGGTATATGCCAAGCTGTTGTTAAAGCCAGAGGAGGTTACTTTAAAGAAAGCAATGTCTAAGCAACAATAACTCAAATACCTAATAATTATAGTCAAAATGTCTTTTGATAAGTTACTCTTTACACAATAGTCATGTTTATTGTGTTGCAAATTATATATATGAAACTATGATCTTTTTTTGTACAAATCTGATCTTGCTTCCAAACTTTTGGCCTTTAGTGTATATATATTTTTTAATATAAATCACACTACATAATATACATCTGCTCCATTTTGACTAAGAACCTCAAAGACTTTCTGTGGTTTTCTTTGGATAGAAACAGAACCAAAGATCTGGTAGATTTTTTGAAAAAACAAGCCAACAGATTTGGCTAATGAGGAGGGAGTCTATTCATTCAACTCAAAGTGAAATTGAATGAAACAGCTGTTTGGTATGTGAGGAATCTCAACACACAATCACAACACAAATGGTTACTCTGGATATTCTGGCTTGTTAGAGCCTGATAAGTAACGATGACCTGAAATGTTATAAAAAGAGATGTAATGAAACCCTGAAATGTAATAACTGACTCAAGATGTAACAATTTGCTACATTTGGACAAAAAGATATTACGTTTCATCTTGTTACATTATTGACCAATTATTCCATTTTAGTTTGTAGTTTTCATTTATTTTTTAAAAAACATTTTGGGTAATTGTTACACATTGGGCTCAAACATGCCTCTTCTCAAACCTTTGTAACTTTGCTCTACTTTTTATTTTCCATCATTGACTCTTGGATATTAAATATTGTAATATATAGCTTCTATAGACCTCCAAAGGCTGCTGCAGCATTTCCCATAGGCAATTTACTTTAAAAGTGTAAAAAACAAACAAACAAAAAAAAACTTAGGGCTGACATACAATCTTTAAGTCTTTATTTACACTGACTCAGTGACTGACATATACAGATTCCGGCACCTCTGTAGAAATCTTAAAAGGGTTGATTAAAAAATGAGACCAGTTTTATTCATAGATATCCTTCTGTTGTAGAGGTATACTTCATTAAGTTTGGTATGGTAACTTTCGGGCATGAACCTAAAAACAAGTCTAGGGATGATATAAATGCTAAATATATTACTATGGATTAATTATGGTTGATTTAAATTGAAGTATAGCAGTGCACTCAGTTGTTTTAAAGTGTCTGATAAAAGAAACTTTTTTTTTCACAAATTTGATTAAGTTTGAACTGAAGTATCCCTATACCAACTCATTAAATCTTCAGCTTCTGCACCCTCTGCCATCATAGCATGACCATGTCTCCAATGTGACTGATGCCCTGTCTTTGACAAAAGGGTTAGTCAGGCACCGCCAGGCCCACACATTTTGCTGATGAGATGTCTTTAAAGCTAAGTTGATTCCACTTGGATCTCTTCCCTTTTACTCTTTCTCATATTTACTTTCATATATCCCCAGATCATCAAAGCCAGTGAGCTAAACAAAAAAATAAATAAATAAATAAAAAATTACAGCAATGGTATCAACATAAACACTCAAAGAACCCAAATGTCTCTTGATGGACGAGCATCCCCAAGGGGCTACACTCCATCAGTCTGAGAAATGGATGCTCATGTGTTTTAGTTCTGCTTAGGGAGTGCTACTGTGTTCTCCTTTAATACTCTTACTGGATTTATTTTTTTTTTTGTATAGGTACTATACATAACTGAATGCTACACAGCAAAAAACTTGAGCTTCCACAATGCTCAGCAGCAGTTACCGACGACCCAGTCAGAGAGGGAAAGTTACGGTTCAATTAGGAATGAGGGTAAAAATAATCTAATCCATAAATTTACTAAAGTCAATTAGGACAACTCAACAATTAAGGACATCTGTTACTTGGGGGCACAGCTATAATGAGGTTGCAGGAGGAGCCACACTGAGACTGTGTCCTTGTTTGTGCAGTGCTCCACAAATACAGAGCTTTGACCATGTTTTTGATATGGAATTAGACCTCAAATTGAATTTTGCAGGGACCAAGCCCACACCTGGCAAATGAGGTAGTAGGAGACTGACAGTGAGAGGCAGAAAGAGACAAAAAGTGGGAGAGAGAATAGACACGAGTGTGTTTGTGCGACTATTTATAGATGCTGTGTCAGTGTGGAAGTCTGGAAACAGCAGAAGAGGAAGCTTGTGGTGTAGAGTGACTGACATTTATAAAAACCAATGTTAGCAAAACCCCAATGGTTTTGGAAGTTTGGGAGTATTTATAAAAAGCTGATTTTCATTTAAAACAAATAGCTTTAAATGACATAAAATAAAATAAAATAAAATAAAAAACTTTAATATGCTTTTAAAAAATGAGGCGAATCACCTGGTTTTCAAAACACTAAACTTGATCTCAAAGCTGAATAACCTTTGACCCTGACCTCCCACTCAACTATGCCTTGAAGACCCTTGATCGGAGTCCGTCAATAGTGATGACATGTTTGCAAGGTGCAGTGTCCAGGAGTGTGCTCTTGACTATTCACTGAGGAAGCTTCAATTCGAGCAAATAGAAAATCTCTCAGGTGAGAAAAGTCCTAGCCAAGAGAAAAGGCAAAAGAAGAAAGCCACATTTCTTTTTCACAAGACCAACACTAACTGTTATGATGATATGAAGCAGCACTAGAGGCATAAAACCACTGATCCTGGAATCCATCGAGTGCTGCAGCCTGCACACATCAGAGACTGAGACCCTTTTAGAACTAGGTGTGATGATGACAGCTTGTAACAGCATCTCTTTTATGTGTTCCCTATGAGCTCCCTCTTCTGTCTTAAACCACCCTCCCTCTACACTACATGACTTGTCAGTGAACTGCGGCGAGATCTGGCAAAGTGAGTAGGGGTAACTGGGAGGTCTGAATTGTACACCTTTGACCCCTCCCTAGGCCATGGTTATTTTTGCACAGACTCTGGACTTGTGTAACCTCCATGATGGCTTGACTGTCTTGCGGGAAAGTGGAGAGGGGCAAGAGGGCAGCACTGATGTTGACACAGGTTGACAGGCAGACAGGGTTGCTTCAAGAGCTGCTTCTGCTGCCCCAGGACAGCAGGCCAGAAGGCAGAAAGGAAGGAGGCCAAGAAGCCTGTCAGCTCATTCCCTTCTGGAGCCCTACATCTGGTCTGGAGGAAATTAAGCCTTGACTTCAACTCTTGCCTGCCTGAAGTTTTGGGCCCAAAACACACAGGCCCTTTGTGATATTGGGGTACAAGATTCTAAGCTACTGCCAGAGGCTATGGGGGGCTACAAAGCTATAGCTATGAGTCGCCAGAGTCACTTAACCCCTTTGTGTTCCCCTGCTAGGCCTAAATCTGAGGTGATCACCATAAGGATCTCAACACCTGGCAGCCATTCATCATTCCTAGCAGCCCTCCAGCTTTTGATATCCTGATATGGTTCTAATATTGTATTCAAGAGGTACAGGACTCCCCCAAACACACATATAGGCAACACAATTCATTGTTGGTGAATACAATTTGAAAGGGTATCCATCTTGCCCTTTGGTCCCTCAATTCATACCAAGAGTCTCATGTAGCTGACCCAAGAGAGCAGCACTGTACCATAAGGTCAAATGAAAAACTTAGCCATGGAGCATTCAAACACTAATGCTGGTGACCTTTTGAAAGGGATAAAGACACGAATGAAGACAAATGGGAAAAAAGGGATAGGGGAAATATATGAAAGGAGAGGTGAGTAAATCTTTAAGCCAGTGGGAAAACACAAGCTTCAAATCATAGCAGACGAAAACCTAAAAATAGCTGCAGCTGCACTGATCTGCATTATAGCAGCTGTCTCCTTTTGCAGAAGATAGGCAGCGTCAGGATGAATGGAAGCCAGAAAAGCAATACAAGTCAAGTTGGCAGTCAGCTTTTTGACTGGGACTGGACCTACTTAGTTAAGATCTCTAGATCATCTCACAGGTCCTGGCAGTCTAGTCTTCAGTCAATACTATATAATAATGTAATGCTAATTTAATGTGTAATAGTCATTTTTGTCATTTGCTCTGTAGTCCAGCTCTTTTAGTCTACTAATATCTGTTGTCTTTTTCCCTTTTGCCACTGTAAACAGACCAATGCTAAATTTACCCAACTTTTATCTGCAAGTTCGATGATCAGAGTAAGTCCTTCAAAGATTGGGATAAGAAATGCGATGAACCATCGGTTCATCATACAGAATGCTATACCAAAACACCAGACCTTACAGAGATGTAAATTACTGAGAACAATGATGAATGTTGTTTACCTATATTATCTACCTATACCTGTACATCTGTACATCTACACAATAATGTGGCATTCAAGATTTTGTTGTTTTATAGGGTTTTGACCAATCTGAATCAAGTATATAACAGCAAGCCAGGGTGTTAGTCAATCACAGGTCTGACAAAGAGAGACAAATTCACACTCACACTAACTACAACTGCCCATTGAGAGTCTCCACTTAACTTAATGATCGTGTTTTTGGTCTGTGGAGGAAGCTGGAGATCCCAGTGGGGAATTCAAACATGCGTGCAGAGACTTATGCAATCAATCAATCAATCAATCAAATTTTATTTATATAGCGCCAATTCACAACAGTCGTCATCTCAAGACGCCTTTCAAAGAACAAGAGCAGGTCTAGACCACACTCATTGTTTGATGATCATGAACCAACCTAAGATGGGTTTTGGCCCATCTCAACTAACATGAGTAGCAGTGGCAAGGAAAAACTTCCTTTTAACAGGCAGAAACCTTGATCAGGACCAGCCTCATGTTAGACAGCCACCATGCCACTGCTGGGTTGGGGAGGAATGTAGAGAGATGGAGGGAGAGAGAGGAGAGAGGGGAGAGGGCAGGGGGAGAGAGAGAACAAGATAAGGGAAGGAGAGGGAGAATGAGTAAGGAGAGGGAGGGGGAGGGAGAGAGAGTAGAGAACAAGGGTGAGAGAGAGACAGGGGACAGCAGAAACAACAGCAACAACAACAACAGCTCATGTAATGGTGAAACAAAAAGAGTTCAGTTTACAGGGTTAGGATATGAGTGATTATGGACAATGTTAAATTAATTAAATGTGATTACAGTCAGCAGGCCTAATCATAGTCAGCTCTAGTTTATGTTATTAATGTCAGTAATGTCAGTGAGGCTGATGTTCATGTCTGCAGTAACAGTCCAGAGGAATCCAGGAGAAGAAGGAGCTCAGGGCCTGAGGTGGACAATCATAGACAGTAGTCAAATCTAGTTTTATGTTATTAATGTCAGTGAGGCTAATGTTCATGTCTGCAGTAACAGTCCAGAGAAATCCAAGAGAAGGAGCTCAGTGCTTGAGGTGGACAATCATAGATGATGCGGCTCACAGTCCAAAAGAATCCAAAAGAAGAAGGAGCTCAGGGCCTGAGGTGGACAATCATAGACGATTCGGCTAGAGTCAGGCAGGTCTGCAGCAGCCATCAGTCCGGAGCAACCAAGGGGCAGGGGGTGTCTGCAGCAACGGTCCAGAGGAGCCAAAGAGATGGAGGAGCTCAGGGCCCAGGGTGGACAGTCAGGGATGATGCAGCTGGGGTCAGGCAGTTCCGCAGCAGACCGTCTGCAGCATTTGTCCAGTGGAAGCTAAGAGACTCAGAGACACTCAGAGAGACAGAAATCTGGTTAGTGACTTATATGGGACATAAAGATCTAAAGAAGAGATATAGACAGACTGTAGCTCAGTGTGCCAGATAACCCCGGCAGTCTAGACCTATAGCAGCATAACTAAGAGCTGGTTCAAATCAGCCCCAACTATAAGCTTTATCAAAGAGGAACATTTTAAGTCTACTCTTGAAAGTTGAGAGGGTGTCTGCCCCCCGAACCTCGAGCGGTAAATGAGTCCAGAGGAGAGGTGCCTGGTAGCTGAAAGCTCTCCCTCCAATACTACTTTTAGAGACATTTGGTACAACGAGCAGGCCTGTAGACTGTGAGCGTAACGGTCTAGACGGAAAGTACGGTTTAACAAGCTCGTCAAGATATGATGGAGCCTAGCCGTTAAGCGCTTTATATGTCACAAGGAGGATTTTAAACTAAATTCTAGATTTAATAGGGAGCCAGTGAAGAGAGGCTAAGACAGGAGAGATGTGCGCCCTTCTTCTGGTTCTAGTCAATACCCGAGCTGCTGCATTTTGGACCAACTGAAGAGTCCTTAAAGACTTACTGGAGCAGCCTGATAAGAGAGAATTACAGTAGTCCAGTCGAGAGGTAACAAAGACATGGACTAGTTTTTCCGCATCACTCTGAGACAGGATGCGTCTAATTTTTGAGATATTGCGCAGGTGGAAAAAAGCTATCCTCGAGATTTGTTGAATGTGGGAGCTGAAGGACAAATCCTGATCAAATAAAACTCCCAGATTTCGCACAGTGGGACTGGATGCCAGACTGAAGCCATCTAGCGTAGCTAAATTATTAGAGAAAGCCTCTCTAAGGTGTTTGGGACCGAGGACAAGAACTTCAGTTTTGTCTGAGTTAAGCATCAGAAAGTTGTTGGTCATCCAGGATTTTATATCTTTGAGACAAGCTTCTAGTTTGGTAACCTGGTTTGCTTCTTCTGGCTTCATGGATAAGTATAACTGGGTGTCAACTGCATAGCAGTGGAAATTAATCAGACTCCACATAGAAAGGCCCCTGTTCTCTGCGAGGGGACCTGGAACCTTCTCACTTTGAGATGACAGCAACAATCCTGCATAAAAACATGCAGGTGTATTAAGATTATTTTGGTTATTCCTTGATTTGCTTTGTTCATTAAATAATGCTGGTGTGATTTATTTGTATCTATGGTAACAGGGATGAAATACAAAAAGCAGGTCACTTAAAGTAACTTTTTCTGCCAGAAAAAAGACAAACAATATTTGATAGTGATTAAACAAGCATAAATTGGGCATCATAGACAAAATATACCTGGAATTTTGTGCTAAAAAAGGTGAATGTCCAGTCACCAGAAAAAAAAAAAAAGGGGGGGGGGCAGGCTTTTCGGATGGAGCATTACAAAAATTTGCTATATGTGCACCATAAGATTACTTTGATATTTACAGCAAAAAAGTCCAACTGGCAACATCTTTATACAAGTATTTAATTATCATGTTGAATCAAAAGCACCAGAAACGTTTTATCTTAAGTAGTAGAGGTGCATTTGTAACTAAAAAAAGTAGATTGGGTCTTGTTTGGACAGTGACAGCTGTCCAGGTCTGCTGTGTCTGCAGTGTAGCAGAAATGGGTAAAATATCAGGAGTTTGTTATTCTGTGCCAGACATTTGATCTTTGAAAATGGTAAAAATAGCCCCAGCCAGTCACAACAGTATAGCAACAGTAAAAATGTATGTTTATGGATCATGAATTGCTTATCTTGCCTTCAAACCAAGTATACAAAACTAGGCCATTTGTGGACTACTTGCATATGAATAGAGAGATATTTGAGCATGACAGATGTATCACTGCTCTGTGCTCTGCAAGGGAGCATCATTAGCACATTGACTGACAAAACTGACAGCTGGCATGGAGAGGAGAGGGATGGAGGGTGAAATAGAAGGGGAGGAGACATAGCAGAATCTGTGCCAACTATCACCCTCTGGCTGTTCTCCATCGTTTTAATCACAGCAACACTGCTCTAACACATCAACCCCTTGGAGACCCAGGTACCTTAGCCACACTTGACATTAACCCATGTTAATATAAGCAAGTCTTTACCTTCTTTCTCACTGTATATTTTTTTCTCTTTGATGTAACTGACAACCAAAACAACCAGGAGACATGCTAAGCAATGAAATTAATATTTTCTATCCCTGTTTGTTTCCTTCCTCTCTTTTCTCTGACTGGATCTACTTTGTGTCACATTCCCTGTTAATTTTAAACAAGACGGCTGAGATGGCCTTTTTCTAAAAGCAACACAACTGATGATTAGACTGATGGCCGTCAGACCTCATATTTGCTTGCCTTTGGCTTCTCGTCAAAACAAGTTGTGCTGAGTCTGCCTTTTCTGTTCTTTTGGCAATGTCAAAGCCGATTCTGACAGAATGCTTGTTTCGAGACCATTTTTAGGGGCAGTGTGTGTACTTCTCAGTTTGACTACACATTCTCAGCGTGAGACACAAAGCAGCAAAGGTCAAGATATAGTGGGGATAAAGTTAGAGGCAACGATGAGGAATCAAGAGGCTGAGATGAACACCAACAAGATAAAAGGCAACAAGATAAACCTTAAGATTGTATTGCACCAACACAAGCAAAAGAATCTTCCATAAACCCAGTATATAAAGACAAAGATTAGAGTGAGCAAATTTCCCAAATCTCTAAAGCAATGTGCAGCATACACGAAGATCCTTGTTCTGTTCTTATTCAGATGGCATGATCCCCTTGAAGAGCTCTGCTATACCCCATACCTAATTCTGCAATCAGACAAAGATCAGATCCTTAGTGCTGTGTAATGTAAATAAGAGAGCTGCAGAGTGGTTTATTTTGAGGTTACTGTGTATTTTGTGGCATTTGTGCCAAATATTGTGCATCCCGAGGGAAGAAATGTTTTAGCTGTCACTGTAAAATGCATTTTAGGCAGTCTGTGGGTCTAAAGCTAAAAATATTTCTAATAATGTCCCTTAAGAGTTGGCAGTGTTTGTATCCATTATAAACACAAGTTTAATTCTGTTGTTCCAACAGAGGCCACAATCAAAGAACAAGTTTAAGATTTACTTTAAAGAGCAAATTAATTCTTTTGGCATTTATGTTTGAATTGCATAAAACAAAACCTAACTTGACCTAGGTAATACACCATAGCTAAACTGTGACAGTCCCAGTGTAGCAGGATGCCAAAATATTGTATTTTATTAACTTTTTTCTGCAGAATCGACCTTTAGTTCTGTTCGGATGCAGAGTTTTTGCACACACACACACACACACACACACACACACACACACACACACACACACACACACACACACACATAACATAAAGGCTTAAAGATGACCTTTTTTGCCATGCAATAATACAGGCTGTATGTCTAGTTTATTCAAAACCTTTTTTATTTGATTTATAACTTTGCTTTCTATGACGGAGTATTAGGGCCACATTAAGAAAAAAAAATTCAAGACTTCTTAATTACTTGAAAGAATAAAGTCGTAGTAAAATCATTACGAGAATAAAGTCATAATAAAATAATTATTTACGAGAATAAAGTGGTAACAAAATCATTACATATGAAAATAAGGTTGTAATAAAATAATTATTTACGAGAATAAAGTCGTAACAAAATCATTACTTATGGAAATAAGGTCGTAATAAAATCATTATTGACGAGAATAAAGTCGTAACAAAATCATTACTTACGAGAATAAAGTTGTAAATCAAATGGAGTCCTAAAGCTGCTTTTGTGGAGGAGGAAATGGCTGGAACTGGTTAACTGCAGTTATCTGTGGGCCATTCAGAGGGCTTTTGTGGTTTCTCAAGAAACAATCCAACCCTTGATCAACATTTGCGATTCAGAGGAAGTCGAGCCCTGACGAGCTTTAGCATCAGTCACCAGAAATGCACAGATGTTGTTGTCAACCCCGAATGAGTTTTACAGCTTCCCTGACCAACCTAGACCTAGCCATAACCTGACATCAGGATGTGCCATCTTACTAGTACTCTGATAGGGGCATGCACACCTGGCAGCTCTTTTATGGACATGCTTAACTAGAAGACCAGTACAAGATAGATTTACATCTTAGCTGTTTCCAAAGGCCTGAGAATATCCCATTTATGTAGACCCTCTGTGATGACTCACAATTACAGTCTAGCAACATTTTAACAGCTGGCAATATGACAATTGTTTAGAAATATATAATAATGCATATCATGTGGTGCTAGCATGGGCGCTAATGGCTAGCCTCACATATTTACTGTAAAGGTGCCTGTCTCAGGAGGTTTCACGACAAGAAAACTGTGAAAAGTAGTTGCCCCAGACTGGCATGGTGAAAGGTGAAAACCAGTTAATTAAGTCTCCTTCAACTTAGAGAAAGCCTTTTGATCTTCTAAGATGTAGGACTCTTCCCATACCAAGATGTGAGATGATTGGAGCCCCATGTTTCTTCAGTAGCAGAGACTGAAGAAACAAGTTTGAGATTTTGGATTCAGTGAGTGACTGTGCAGAATGCACCAGTGAGAAGATTAAAAAGAAAAGAAAAAAACAGAAAGGGGTTGTTGTTTTTGTGCACAAAATATTATTTGGCCATAAACACTTGAAAAATGGAGGATCACACTTGACATACATCACATGAACATCTTGTACTCACTTCACTGACAGAAGAGGAGAGCAAGAAAGCATTAAAATCCAGAATCTGACTTCCAGGTATCACTTATGCCAGCTATCCACCAGAGGACCTTGTATCCTCTTTTCAATCTTTGACAAGATTTGGAAAAGACTCCTGGAAAACTATCAGCTCACACCTGCTCACATCTAAAGTGTTTCGAGTTTTTAGTCACAGCCTACACAGACCTACTATTACTATAATACTGGACCCCTCCTTCCCCTCGCACAAGTCATGTGGGTTTGTTTAAAAACCGCGCTTGCGCCGGCTAGAGGATGCAAAGATGAAGCAGAGCTATCAAAATGGGTCAGAGAAACAGAAAAAAATAGAAGACAAAAAAATACACAGCGACACTACCAAAAGTGTCACAATTTTTTCGGTCTCTCTGACAAAACAAGTTGAAAAAAATTGTCAGACTTGGAGCCAAGTTCCCGTGGGCTAGCTCAACAAGTTACAGCAGAACCAAGTGCTGTGAGCCCAGTGGTGGAGGAGCAAAGCAGTGATGCTCAAAATGAAAATTTGGTTAGTCCACGTCCAGACAGCCCTTCATCTGACCGAAGTGTCAATGAATTAGGACTGAATGATGACCTGGCACTTTGGCCAAAAACTATCAGTGACAGCGAGCGATGAATAAATAAATAAATATATATATATATATATATATATATATATATATGATGTATATCCTGTCTGATGAGCACGTTTGGACACTCAACCTGACCAAATGAATACAGCTGAAAACGCATTAAATTAGATATCCAGTGAATAGTTACACATGATGAAGTGAACAAGATATTTGATTCGCCTCCTGCCTCCTTTCTCTCTTCCTCTTCTTTCTCGCGCAGCTCGACCCGAACACGTCTCCGTGTCCCTTCCCTGTCCTGCTGCTGCTGTGGTGGCAAGACAAGCCAGATGATTTATTTTAGTGATCAGATAAGTTATTCAGATCGCAAATTTGAACATAAAAATTAAAAGAAACTTTTATTCAAAATAACCTGTTTATCTGATGCTCTCACATCCTTAAAATTCTGTGAAAATTAAATCCGAAATTAGGCTCACATATGAATATTACAATATTCAATAACGTGAGCCATATTCATTTTATAAGCGAACATTAGTGAAAGAAAGAGCCAGGCCACAGAGAGTGATGCGTCCTTTATGCACAAGTGGTTCCGATTTTAATACCATTATTGGCATTTGTTTATGTTGTTATCTTTGCATACAATCAACCTTTGTCACATGGGGTTTAGATATATGCAACTTGATGTGAGTGTCTTTATTTGTGGAAAAGGATGTTTGTCCTACCAGTGGGTTCAACCTTAAACACACCAAATCCCTCTGTGCTCATTTGAGAGAATTTGGAGGACAACCTCCACACTGCTTACTGCAACACTTGTTGGGGACTGCGTCCTGTTGCCATCTTATGGTATTGCTGCCTTCAGTCATCCCTGTGATTACTTCACAAAAATTGCAACTCCCATTGCTGGTGGTGGATTTAAAGGTGAGTAGAGGAGCTGATGTGATTGGTGAAAACAGGACACAGCTGTGTTAAACCCGCTCCATTCCTTATTCCCTCTCTCTTTTCTACTTACACTGCTGGGAGGTGCTGAGTTATGGAGGCATGATACTTACACCGGGCTACACTGCTCACCAAAATACCAAAGTGTGCTTGAGCCCCTAGATTTACTTAAGACTGCCAGTTTTTAGTCTGGGACTGTGAAAATTGTTTGGTGGAAGCCCAGCATAAGTCATACAATTTCTATTAGCTGTGCTTTCAGTTAAATGTGAAATGAGTAGCTCACCAAATTCCACATGTGCTTTACCCAACAACATTGAGCAGGGAAGTGCACTATAATAGCAATAGTAATCCCTATGGAGCTACTGACAAACTTTAGAAATTTCTTACACAGAATATGAATTTTTCTCCCCCCGCCCCCTGGTTGCAATGTTGACATGTAGTTATTGTAAGACTCTTGACATATTGTAAGTTCTTGACATGTTTGAGCCTGTGTCTTTGTCATTTTTAGAAGAGCTGGTTGGCCATATTAAGCCTGCAGGTTCTCCCTGTGATGTTGTCCCTCCCAGGCTGTTTAAAGAGGTTTTCCCCTGCATAGGTCAGTCTGTTCTGGCTATCATAAATGGCAGTCTGTCCTCTAGTGTTGTTCCACTAGGTTCCAATCTCCAAACTTCCCTTCATTTCAAAAATTTTAGAGAAAGTTGTTCATGTTAAGCTAAAGTCTTTTCTGGATGAGCATGGTCTCTTGGAGGTCTTCCAGTCTGGTTTTAAAACTTGTCACAGCACAGAGTCTGCTTTATTAAGAGTTTTTAATGACATCCTCCAAGCAAATGACTCTGGTGATTATGTTGTTCTTGTTCTGTTAGATCCAACTGCAGCTTTTGACACAGTGGACCACAATACTCTGGTGGCTCGGCTACGCCACCTTATAGGTATCCGTGGTACTGCACTAGAGTGGTTCAAGTCTTATTTGGCTGACCAAACAATAAGTTTTGGAGATACAGAGTCCAGCTCTGCTCCACTGCCGTATGGGGTTCCACAAGGGTCGATTTTAGGGCCCCTGTTCTTTTCTTTGTATTTGCTGCCCCTGGGCTCCATCTGAAGAAAGCATGGCATTTCTTTTTATTGTCCTGCTGATGACAGTCATATATATGTGCCACTTAATAAGAAAAATGCTTTCTCCCTCACTCCACTTCTGGCATATCTTGAAGACATCAAAGTCTGAATGGCTTTGAAGTTTTTAAATTTCAATGAGAGAAAAACAGAGGTGGTGGTCTTTGGTCCCAGTGGCCCTTGTGAAACCCCTCCTGTAGACTTAGGTATTTTAGCAGACTATTTAAAGCCAACCGTCTCAAATTTGGGTTTTAAGATGGACAGTGATTTTAAATTTGACAGGTAAATTAGCTCCGTAGTGAAATCTAGCTTTTACCATATTAGGCAGCTGGCGAAGGCAAAGCCATTCCTTGCACATAAGCACTTTGAAACAGTAATCCATGCCTTTGTTACATCTCAGCTGGATTACTGTAACGCACTTTATTATGGAGTCAGCCAGTCCTCCCTCTCACATCTCCAGTTAGTACAAAACGCAGCTGCCCGGCTCTTAACTGGAGTACGTAAGAGGGAGCACATTACTCCCATCCTGGCCTCCCTCCACTGGTTACCCGTGCACTTTAGAGTTCATTTTAAGATTCTTTTATTTGTTTTTAAATCTTTAAATGGTCTGGCTCCATCTTACCTCTCTGAGCTTCTCCACCCCTACACCCCTGCCCGGTGCCTCAGGTCAGCTGATCAGCTGCTCCTGGAGGTACCGAGGTCCAAACGGAAGCTCAGAGGGGATAGATCTTTTTCTGTTGCAGCCCCAAAATTATGGAACGAGCTACCCCTCCAAAGTAGACAAGCCCCCACACTGTCCATTTTTAAAACTCATCTTAAAACCCATTTTTATTCATTGGCTTTTAACAGTGCATGAGACTCAGCTCCTGTTTTAGTGTTTTATGGCTTGTTTTTAGTTATTTGTTTTTATGTTTTTAAATTAGTTTTTAAAAACATTGAAACTATATTTTACTTTTTAATTCTGCTTTTATTTTATCCATTGTTTTAATTGTTTTTTATGTCTAGTTGTTTTGTCTATTTATGTACAGCACTTTTTTCAGCTGTGGTTGTTTTAAAGTGCTTAACAAATAAAGTTGAGTTGAGAGTTGAGTAAGACTGGTTTGTGCTCAAGTCCTTTGTTTACTGTGCAGCTCCATATTTAAAAGTTTTTAGGGGTTCGTGTTTTCTATGATTGACACTTGACACAGCCTATGGGCTTACAAAGATTCTTTAGCTCACCCGGGGGCATGCTGTTTGAGCTGAGTGTCATCACAGTGACTCTTTGGCTTCAAATTCGTATATATGACCAAGGGTGGAACCAAGTTGTCCATAGTATATACAGCCCATGCTGGAAACACACCAGGCAGTCACACTGTACTTCTCCACTAACCTGTAAGAGGTAAACTGGTAGCCATGCCACTGACAAACACTGCATAAATAAAGCTCATTCTGACACAACACAAAATTGTAGCCTTAACATTACACAACGCTCTGAATGTGGATGTCATCAAGAAATAAATGTTATGGGATGGTTCTAACCTAATTTCAATTCAGCAACACATATTTTTTTCTTTTTTTTTTTTCCTACTCAGATTTTTTTCCAAACAGTTCAAAGGTTGTTACACAAGGAAGTAACACCAATTTAATATATACCAAATGTGAAATACAGCTGTATCTTCTGCTTTTGTACAATGGCTATATATAATGGCTAAAAGAGTGATCTTTGGTGCACATTCGGATGTAATTGCCAATTTGCTCTCATTCCTTTGGGGTATAAAACATCATCAATTTATCATTTTAGCCTTTGTCTCAGTTTTTTTTTCTCAAGTCTCAAATACTGTGTGGTTTATTCTGAGACATGGCCAATTCTGTTTTTCAAGTTTGCCTTTATTGTTACCTTTTACCACACAAGACTGATCAGTTCAACTTATTGGCAAAATGGAAATTTGTGCCATATGACATCAGATTTTTACTAAGTATTCACTGCGCCAAATTTGGTTGCAATGGAGAGCTGTGTCTTGTAAGAACTTAAGTTGTGATTTGGCCTTTCATAAATAAAAAACACTTGGGTTGTCTTTGAGATACATGTTACTAAGAAACCTGAACATATCAAGTGTAACGCCAAAGAAGGGGGGGGGGGGACTACTATCTCCTTTGAAATAGTTAAGGAAGTACATTTACATCAAGAATGGATGATAGACTGATGTGATTAGCTGAAAGAAATTTCTATAAAACAGTCAGGAAAAAAATTAATTGGGTATTTTACTACGGAGGACATCTGTTTACTCACACTAATTAAACCCGCAGCCATGCTTTTTTTTTCTTTTTAACAAAAAACACTAATATAAGAGGAAGAGAAAAACAGGCATAAGGACAAGATTACAAAAAAGGTTTCACTTCTCGCATCTTGCCTGATTCACACTTGTTGGTCACACTTGGTACACTTCCATTTAAGGAGTAACAGCTTCTTCTGTTGGCAGTTTGCTGAAGTGTGAATGAGGTCAAGTCATGTCAGGACAATAATACTGTAAGTTACAACTGTGAGTTGGTAAGTGAAGAAACACCTTGTCAAGCATTTTGAGGTGGAGCAACTAAACTAGGCTACAGGGTTTGGAGTGAGAGTTTCAGAGTCAGTAGTTCCTGCTGAGACCTGCAAACAGCTGGCTGTTGACACGCTGTCAGGCAGATATGAGATAATCATGTAAGGCATCTTAGCACACGCACACATTTGATGTAAAATCAACACAGTACTTAATGTCTGTAAGAGATGCATCAAAAATACAGTAATAATTTTGAATGTGTTGATCAGTGTTGAGCTAGTTGCCGAAAATGTGTACAAACCTCAGTTTGGACATTGTGTAAAACGTGAATGAAAACAGAATGCAATGCTTTGCTAATCTTTTCAACTATTAAACACTTGTTTTTTTATAATTGTATTCAATTGAATACAATTATAAAAAACAAGTGTTTAATGTTCAATCTTATAAACTTTGCTGTTTTGGAACAATTCACTCAAGTCTTCATGCCTGTAACGAGTTCCAAAATTTGAGACAAGGCAACAAATAACTGGGAAAATTGAGGAGTGTGTGAGAAAAAAACAAAAAAAAAACTGTTTGAAACATTCCACAGGTGAACATGTTAACTGGAACCTGGTGAGTGTCATGATCCTTGACAGCCCTAAGTAATTTACAAACAAAGATGGGGCAAGGTGCACAACTATCAACAACTGCAAGAGTAAATTGCAAGAGTAAATAGTCCCAAAGTTTAAGAATGTTTCTGCACAGTTGCATGAAATTTAGGGATTTCATCATCTTTAGTCTATTGTATCATCAAAAGATTCAGAGAATCCAGAGAAATCTCTGTGCCAAAGCAACATAAAACAAACCAAGTGAATACAGGTGGGAAAAGATTTGCAAATTCTTGTATTCTGTTTTTATTTACGTTTTACACAATGTCCCAATGTTATTGGAAATGGGGTTTGTATTTAGTAAACTACTGCTTACAAGTAGTTGACCATTTACAGCTTTTCAAGAGCTGATGCTGATACTGTTAATGAGTGGGCAGGGCTGTTGATGGTTGATATATAATGTTTTCACATTGTTGTTTATTTCATAAAATACAATAATTCATATCAATATTACAACAGAATGAGACGAAAGGGCTGAACTTGCTGGTGAAGGATAAAATGTCTTCTTATTTGGGAAAGATCATTGTGATATTAGTCTTATGAGGGCCTGACATCCACCTTGAGAGTGTGCATACCAATATGAAGACATGCAACTGATTAGCCTGATTGATCAGCTGACCTATTATTGGGCCATGTCTGCTATTGCGTCTCATGAAGTACTGCTTCACGTAATAGTAATGAATTCAGTCACATCATGTCATTTAAATCAATGGTACACACACAAATTTTTAAACTGTCTTTATATCCTTTTTAAACAATGAATAGGTATAAAATTACACTATTAAGAATTTTAGTTGTCAGTTGCTTGTGATGATAGCTGGATGTGCAAGGAGGTCCAAAGTTAATTTGACCAAAGCTGAAGATGGGGATGAAGCCAAAAGCAGGTCATGTTACAAAACAAATTCTTGCAAGAGGGGAACATAACCTAGTGGCCAAGCACACCAGCACTGTGCATCAAATCATCAAATCAAAGTACCTGCTTTACCTTAGACTGTCAATGACTCCAAACAACTCTGTCAACTTCAGCAGTTGAGGGGCTGCCATCTTCCTCTTCATCCAAAGCAGTCGGGTAAGTACACTCAACATAGGAGTCATACTGATAACTTACTTATACTGATAACAGCATCAGTATTGATTAAAAAAAAAAAAAAAACATTGATCCCCATCTCTAGTGTTAACTGAATAATATTCTTAAACTCAGTATGCTGCTCTGCTGGCATAGCCATAACCTTGACCTCAGGTAAGATGACAAATTATGCTTGCTGGTATTAAGCTGTATGGCATAAAGTGTTGAGTAGTGACACCTCTTAAATTTCTGTAATTGTAACAGGTTTTTTTTTTTTTTAAATGTCAAGAAGTGAATTCATGCATGACTTGCCAATGCCAAAATATTGGACCACACCAGAGTAGAGATGTTCAAAAATATCTAACTTTGTGAGCCATCCTGATGAAGGTACGTCTGCCTAATTAGCACTCAACATGACATGTGCTTGAAAAATTAAGCACAGCTACTAATTTAAAACCTGGTTAACAGTGTGCTCAGAGACAGTTGCAACATAATTATTCAGTAAGGAATGTGTGAGAGGAGATCAGGTATGTGAGTTAGCTTCTATGGCATCTGTGCAAATGGGTACGTAAGCTACTTTTTGAGAAATATAGAAGTTTTAGAAGTACAAGAAAAACAAAGTTGAAGGGGAGGTGGTTGAACTGAGGAGACGTGTTTGAGGGGAAAAGGGTGAGCTGGGAGCTACAGGAGTCAAGGGGAAGCAAGAAAATGTCAGGTGTGAAAAATGAAAGAAGATGTGGAAAAAGTAGAAAGTTACAAGAGAGTCACATGGGATGGTAGGGGCTGGCTTGGGACCCATGTATTTTCTTTGTCCCCCACTGCGGGTCCTGAAACTCCATGCACAATTAAGTCTCTTAAGTCTCTTTTTTTTCCCTGATTTTTAAATATGTCCTTAAACGTAAACGTTGGATACCATTGACAACATTAACCCCACTGTCTGTTGTTACAAACACACACACCTGTTTGTCCTCTTGTAGATTTCATGACTCAAAACTCCCTTAACTTGCAAAATAAATAAATAAAAATAGGTGCTAAAGGTAAGCTATTTTTCACTTCATTGACCATTTAAGGGGCTACCTTATTATGGTGGTAGTAGCTACCTCAAACGTGATGCTGTTTCTTCTGACTCCTGCAAGACACTTTTCTTAAACCATATAATAATTTATACATCAGTTGTCAAATATTTTGAAAACCATTGCAGTTGTTTAGCCAACTATATTTCTGTTCTATCTATCTATCTATCTATCTATCTATCTATCTATCTAAGGGTGGTGTTAATTTAATGCATACATTATTCAAGCCACTTTATCTTAACTGGCAGGGCTGCATTTGTAGGGTAGAAAAAAGAGAGTGAAGGACCAATGAAAGAGAAAACTGTTGTTGGAAAAAAGTTTCAAATTATCAAAAAGAGCCAAGCAGACAGTGTAGGACATAGGTAGTAATTAAAAGGTATAAGGAGATGAATATATTATGACACCACATTTATATTGAACTGTCAAAAAAGGTCTCTTTTTCTGTGTGTGAGTGTGTGAGTGCCCTTCACACTGGCATGTTGATGTGGCTGACCCAAATGACTGGGATGCTATTGGTAGAGAGCAAGGCGATCTTGTGTTGAATACTGATGAAGCTCAGCGCAAAACTGACTCCTGGCCTCATTAACCTGCCAAAGACTTCCTTTGTTTTGCATTGTGGTTCTCTAAAGTCCTCTTACATCCTGTCTGAAGGGGTGTGGGAAGTCACATCATGGACAGAGGAGTCTGCCTTCAGAAAAGCAAACAAGCCACAGCAGTAGTTTGAGCAGTGTAGTGCATGTGTGGGAAAGAAAGTGGGGTACAAAATGGCATCTTCATGAGACTGAAGCACTATCTGTCAGTTCAGTGCTAAATTTGTAACCAGAAAACAAGACTTAGAAAGTAAGAGGTGATACTTGTTTAAAAACCACCTTACAAAAGAGGTGTTACTTGTTTAAAAACCACCTTACAAAAGTTTCTCACACATGTTGAAAAGTGCCAGATAGAGAAAAAAGGAAAAGTCTGTTGCTTTATGATGAAGAAAGCAAAATAAAATAAAGCACAAAAACAAAACATGGATCACAACTCACTTTCAACAACTAAAGGGGAAGAAGAGGAGGTGGAGGCAAGGACAGAGAGTGAGGAAATGGAGCGTAAGGATGAGAAGAAGGAAAAGCAAAAGTAGGACAGGGGTTTGCACTCTTTCATATGCCTTGGCACAGCACGTCGTTGTTTTGTTCGCTGGCGTGTGTGGCAGCATGCACGCTGATGCCTTTGAGTGTACGTTTGTACGCATTCTTGTGTGTGTATGTGTGTGTGTGTTTGTGTGTGTGTATGTTCGCAGAGGAGATTTCAATTTCATCTTTAATAGAAACAGCAAATAGGGGAACAAATAAAATGCGAAGGAGAAGAGCATGGTTTGAATGGTTGATGAGGCAGACATGAAGTAAACATTCAGCTATTCGCAAAACAAGATGGGTGTGAGGGGAGAGACGGTAGTAGGAGAACTGAGGTGAACAAGGAGAGTGGAAACAAACCTAGGGGGGTGAGTAAAGAATGGTAATGATGGAAATATCAAGAAACAGAGTAACAAAAAGGAAAGACAGCAAGGGAGTAAGGAATGATGATGGAACAGGGGATCAGTCATGGTGTGTCTTCCAGTGGAAGTCGTCACTTATACTGCGGAAGGGAGCAGCCCTGAAGTTAGAAATCACCAGGAGCAGGTACAGATTAGATACAGGCTATTGGTTCTGATGAGGCCTCATATAGATCAGTAATGGCTCAGTAGGGACAGAGGCAGAAAGAGCAGATGGAGCAGCAGTAAGGTGCTGACTTTACCTGAAGCATTTTTCAACTGAGGTGTGAATTCTGTTTGGATGAGAAAATTATAATTTTCTTTCTCCCACCCTCCATTTCTTATTTGTTTATTTTTTGGGGAAATTTTGTTCTACAGTAAGCAGTAGCGGTTCTAGGCACGGGCGAACAGGGCAGCCGCCCGGGGCGGCATTTGTGTCATGACTCATGGGGGGCGGCACGAGCACTTCCAAAAAAAAAAAAAAAGAAAGATAATAATAATAAATCTTAACCGCAAAGCGGTTTTGTATTAACTCTTCCCCCCCGCTGCTGTAGGCGCCCCTGCTTGCTCCGAAGGTGCTGCACAGAGGCTGACAGACTGTGTGAGACGAGGCGGAGAGAGAGTCGCGGGGGGACAGCTCTGCTCTGTGTACGCATGTCAGCATGTCAGAGCGCGGATACGTCATTTTGTAGTTTTTTAATCATTTCTGGAGTCGCAGTGAATGAAATCACCGTACCCGTCTGCCTTTGATAGGCGAATAAAGCGCTCGGGTTCATGCTCGGATCTTGCTACGTGCTTGATGAGCTTCATGAGTAAAGTAAACAATGACTGAGGCAGAGAGCAGCTTCAGAGGAGAAACATCCAGCAGTGTGAACAACCTCTTCATAGGGAGTGCTTTGGCTCACACTATCAGCGTTTTCTCTCAGTGTTGCATGACTTTGGGTGAGAACAGAGATGAACACACTGTCAGCCACGTATTTATTTATTCATTCTTTAGTTTTTAGTTCTGCTTTTGTACTGGCATTTTACTGGGGCAGCTGTACACCCTTTCAACACCTTATTTTCTATATTTACATTTGTATTGAATGGACACTTTATCATGACTGCCACTTGTTTTACAGAAAGCAAATTATTTGTCATTCTCCAGTGCAGAGCCTTTACTTTTATTTATACAGCCGCTTTATTTCATTTGAGTTTGTTTGTTCAAGGTTTTCAAAAATGTGATGAAGGTTCGCAAAACTAAAAGAGAGCTTTCTTGAAAGCCACATGTATAAGCTCTCAAATACTTTTTGAATTTTGTTTCTATCTACTACAGAGGCCGAAATAGCAGCTTTTTTGTAAACCTTAACACGTCAGAAAACCTCAGGATCTGGGGGCCCTTCTCAAAATGGCCCTCAGGAAGGATTGAAGGATTTCTGCAATTGAGAAATATATTATTTTTGTTGTTATAATCATAATAATACTACATAATAATACAAAACTATCTGTTCAAAATTCTATCTCTTTTGTGTGTGTGTGTGTGTGTGTGTGTGTGTGTGTGTGTGGGGGGGGGGGGGGGGGCACTTGGAGGGGTGCTCGCCCGGGGAGTAATTTGGTCTAGAACCGCCACTGACAGTAAGAAAGAAAAGAAAGAAAGAAAAACACCACAGAAAAAGAAAACAAAGACCTCATCTAGTCATTTCTTGTTTTTTGAGGTATGAACAACAGTTCAGTTCAACACTACGGGAATCATATATAACACAAACACTCAGACAGTCCAACAACAAAATGCATCCTTCGTTTGATAAAATTAAATTTTCAGAATACAAGAGGAATGCCAGAAGCTTGTCTTCAAAACCTATGCTTTTTTAATACAAAAAATGTAGCCTTGTAACTTAGAGCCAAGCTCCTTCAAACTGGTAAACTGTTTCCTTGCAGGCCCGCACCTGTGTCCTGCGGTCCTGTACTCCTGAAAACTGTTTCCCGATTTACCTGGACTCTTTTCTCCTCACTGTAGGTGTTTGAGAGTGCACACTGAGGTGATATGCTTTTCTCCCGATTTGATTCTTCTACGATTTTTTGGATGCCAATTCGATTTAAACTGCGATTCTATGATATTGCAGATTTTCTCAATTTTTAGTCTGCATTTTTAACACCAGTGAAACGGTTGAATGTTTATGATTGTCTACTGACTATTCCAGGAACCATATTTCCTGGCATCACCATATTTTTATCTCTGTCTGGAAAAAAAAGTTATTTTATTGTCAAAAGTAAAAGTTAATCCAATGTGAGTAGGTAATTAATTTACCGGTCTGCTCTACAAGATCTAACCTGCAATTCCTCCAAGTTTGATGTGATAGAAATGATGAGCAATGATTTTACAGCAATTTCAGTCAGAAAAGTCTCAGGGGGACATCATTTGGAGAGCTTTGGTGCAAAAATGGTGCAGTGCTATTTCAAATGAAAACATATGATTTGCGTGTTAATTACTGTTTTTTTCCCACTAGGACTAAAGGACTACCTTACATTTTTAGGCAGTTCTAAAATCATGTATGTTGTATGCAATTACATTTTCTACCATTGTGCACAGCACAATGCAATTATGTAGCTAATAGATGAAAATACAAAAGACACTAGAAAAGCACTCGGAGGGCGCAGACCTCCACCAAGCAGCTCATGTCCCCCCTTATATTGTGATTCACACCAAAACTTTTACTGTTACGTGTCTTTTATTAACTTTTATTTGTGTTTAAACTGGTATGTTCACTGTTCATAATGTTCCTAAAACAAGAAATGCCCTGACCCGGATTCGAACCCAGGACCTTCTTGCTGTGAGACAGTGCTAACCACTACACCACTGTGCCGCCCATCTACACCACTGTGCCGCCAATTGGTTATCTTTCATCATTGAAAATTCCAACACCACCCTTATTTTTGTGTGTTCTGGATCACAGTATCCGGAATTTTGTTTGGATCAGGATCAACCTTTGACTCTGGCCATTTTCATAGAGTTAAATGCAAAAATTCCCAAACTTGCCCTCTCTCACAATGATAAAGAATCCTTCCTTGATCCAGAAGGCGATCCGGATCACCACCAAAATGTAATGGGATCTTCCTGGGGCTGAGACGCACCTATACAGAGTCGATTGATTCAATCGATTGACGTTTATTTCAAATAATGCAGTTAAAACTATAGGACAATAAAAGGCAAACAATATAGAAAAGAAATGCATATTCAAAAAGGAGTGAGAAGAAGCATAACTTATTGCTCCCACCCCTTTTCCATCATAGTAAACATGATTTTTTCTGCGCGCACCCTCGCACACTCTTGTGCATCCCCCCACCCCACACCACACATTCTCACACACACACACACACACACACACACACACACACACACACACACACACACACACACACACACACACACACACACACACACACACACACACACACACCAGACATAAACAAGGAGAATAAACCTATTAACCTAATAATGATTCACCTACGCCTGTAGTGCTAAATATCATCTTCTTCTTTCATGTACCTCATAAAGATCATTTCTTTATACCTTGATTTGAACTGTTTTATATTTAAGCATGTTTTTAACTCCACCTTCAACCCACTCCATAGTCTTACCCCCAAATTAGATATGCAAAAACTTTTACCGGTAGTTCGTCTATAGAGTACTTTAAAATTACAAATTGATTTCACCTTTGAATAATAACGACCCTCTGGCTCTCCAAACAGTTCTGTATGTTACCTGGTAATAACATGCTATTAGCTTTATACATTATTTGCGCTGTTTGGTAATCCACAATGTCATTAAGTTTTAGCAATTTTGACTGTATGAATAATGGGTTTGTATGATCCTGATAGTTCGCATTATTTATGATACGTATGACTCTTTTTTGTAGTATTGTTAATGAACTTATTGCTGTTTTATAATTATTCCCCCAAACTTCTATGCAATACTGTAAGTAAGGCAAGACTAATGAACAGTACAGTGTATGTAGTGATTTCAGGTCCAATACCTTCTTAGCTTTACTTATGATCCCAATGCTCCTTGCTACTTTATTGTGTACGTGGTTGATGTGTGATTTCCAATTTATTTTCTCATCTATGATTACTCCCAGAAATTTTATTTCCTTAACTCTTTCAATTTCTACATAATCAATTTTAACCTTTATCTGCAAGTTTGACATGCTCTTTCCAAATAACATTATTTTAGTCTTTTTTACATTTAGTGACAACCTGTTTCTATCGAACCGTAGCTTTAATTTAATCATTTCAGTATTGATGTCATTCTGCAGTTGTTTCAGGTTAACCCCTGAACAAAAAATATTGGTGTCATCTGCAAATAGCACAAAGTGCATTAACTTGGACACATCACACATATCATTTATATACAGAATAAAGAACTTGGGACCCAAAACTGACCCCTGGGGTACACCACACTTAATGTCCACACATGCAGAGGAACAATCATCTAACTTCACAAATTGCTGTCTTCCATTTAAATAACTTTTGACCCAATCAAGCACTATACCCCTAATTCCATATCTTTCAAATGTTTTTAATTAGTCTATCATGGTTGATTGTATCAAACGCCTTTTGTAAATCAATAAATATTCCGACTGCATATTTCTTCTGATCTATTGCATTCTTTATTTCTTCCATTGCTTCAATAATTGCCATGGATGTTGATCTATTCGATCTGAAACCATATTGATTTTCCACCAGTATTTTGTTCTTTTCTAGAAATATATCCAATCTGTTGTTAAAGAGTTTTTCTAATTTTTTTGAAAATTGAGGAAAGAGATGTTTATTACCAGATTTGAACAGAGGAATGACCTTGGCTATTTTCAATTTATTTGGAAATGAACCTGTTTGGAAGGATAAATTACAAATGAAAGTTAATGGTTTAATAATGCCCTCAATTACATGTTTAACTGTTGTCATGTCTATGTTAATAACATCATTAGACTTTTTATTCCACTACACCACTGTGCCGCCTATCTACACCACTGTGTCGCCCATTGGTTATCTTTCAGCATTGAAAATTCCAACGACACCCTTATTTTTGTGTGTTCTGGATCACAGTATCCAGAATTTTGTCTGGATCACCACCAAAATTTAATGGGATCCTCCTGGGACTGAGACGCACCTCTGGTTAAAATTTCAGGTCAATCCGTCTGTTACTTTCTCCGTAAAGTTTCTAACAAACAAACAAACAAACAAACCAACGCTACCAAAAACATAACCTCCTTGGCGGAGGTAATAATTGGGTTTACACAGTGTGTACATGGACCTATGCACTGCTTTAACCACACCCTCGATCTTGTCCTGGCTTATGGCCTTGAAGCTGAAGCCTTGTCAGTCAGCTCATTAAATCCTCTTTTATCAGATCACTTCCTAGTAACTTTTGAATTAGTGCTTTCAGGCTACTCATAACAAAACGTGCTAACTAGAAGGTTGTCTGAAAATGCTGTGACTAAGTTCAAGGAGGCAATTCCATCTGCTCTTAATTCTGTGCTTGAGAAGAACTTTATTGATAGCTCATACTTGAACATCAGTCCCTTGCAACTTGATCAGTTGGTCGACGATACCTCAGGCACATAGGGATTAATTCTTGACTCAGTTGCTCCTCTTCCACAGAAAACTCTTGCACGCGAGAGGCTGGCTCCGTGGTATAATGCTGAAACCCTTGAGCTGAAACAGTTATTAAGAAGACGAGAAAAGATTTGGGGCTCTTCCAAAACAGCTGAAGCTTGTTTTCTCTGGCAGGAATGTCTTGACAAATATAAGAGGACCTTGCGATGTGCTCGGACAACTTACTACTCGTCTCTTATTGAAGAAAATAAGAATAACCCCAGGTATCTCTTCAGCACTGTAGCCAGGCTGATGGACTGTCAGAGCACTGTTGAACCATGTATCCCATTAGCCCTCAGCAGCGATGACTTCTTGAGCTTCTTTAATGAAAAAATCTTAAAAATAAGAGGTAAAATTAGTAACCTGCTGCCTTCATCAGGTGTCTCTCTCTGAGATAACCCTGAAATTGTTGAGGAGCCCCTAAGGCTTCTGGTGCACCTTAGTAACTTTGCACCTATTGACCTCCCTGAGTTTAATTTAGTGGTGTTGGCAGCCAAACCATCAACGTGTCTTTTAGACCCAATTCTATCTAAACTGCTAAAGGAAACTCTTCCTTTAATTAGTACATCCTTGCTTAACTTGATCAACACGTCTTTATTAACAGGATATGTTCTCCAGTCTTTTAAGACTGCGTTGATTAAGCCTCTCCTTAAAAAACCTACTCTTGACTCAGGCACCCTAGCTAACTATAGACCAATATACAACCTTCCTTTTATTTCTAAAGTCCTAGAGAAAGTTGTTGCGAATCTGCTTTGTGATTTTCTGAACTCTGCTGAAGGTGACAAATGACCTACTCATGGCTTCGGACAGTGGTCTTCTCTCTGTTCTTGTCCTGTTGGATCTTAGTGCTGCATTTGACACGATCGACCACCACATCTTGCTCCAGAGACTGGAACAATCTATCGGCATAGCAGGATCCGCTCTTCCCTGGTTTAAATCTTATCTAACGGATCCATCCCAGTTTGTCCATGTTAATAATGAATCCTCTGTGCACACCAAGGTCTGCTACGGAATCCCGCAAGGGTCAGTGCTTGGACCGATCCTCTTTACCTTGTACAAGCTTCCTCTGAGTAAAATTATGAGGAAGTACTCAATTAATTTCCACTTTTATGCAGATGACACCCAGTTATACTTATCCATGAAGCCAGAAGAAACAAATCAGGTTACCAAATTAGAAGCTTGTCTCAAAGATATAAAATCCTGGATGACCAATAACTTTCTGATGCTCAACTCAGACAAAACTGAAGTTCTTGTCCTCGGTCCTAAACACCTTAGAGAGGCATTCTCTAAAAACATAGCTACGCTAGATTGCATCAGTCTGGCATCCAGCCCCACTGTGTGAAATCTGGGAGTTTAATTTGATCAGGATTTGTCCTTTAGCTCCCACATTCAACAAATCTCTAGGACAGCTTTTTTCCACCTGCACAATATCTCAAAAATTAGACCCATCCTGTCTCAGAGTGATGCAGAAAAATTAGTCCATGCCTTTGTTACCTCTAGGTTGGATTACTGTAATTCTCTCTTATCAGGCTGCTCTAATAACTCTTTAAGGACGCTACAGCTGGTCCAAAACGCAGCAGCTCGGGTATTGACCAGAACCAGAAAAAGGGAGCACATCTCTCCTGTCTTAGCCTCTCTTCATTGGCTCCCTGTTAAATCTAGAATTGAGTTTAAAATCCTCCTAATGACATATAAAGTGCTTAATGGCCTGGCTCCATCATATCTCGACGAGCTTGTAATACCTTACTTTCCATCTAGACCATTACGCTCACAGTCTGCAGGTCTGCTTGTTGTACCAAATGTCTCTAAAAGTAGTACTGGAGGAGGAGCTTTCAGCTATCAGGCACCTCTCCTCTGGAATCATTTACCGCTCAAGGTTCGGGGGGTAGACACCCTCTAAACTTTCAAGAGTAGACTTAAAACGTCCTCTTTGATAAAGCTTATAGTTGGGGCTGATTTGAACCAGCTTTTAATTATGCTGCTATAGGTTTAGACTGCCGGGTTATCTGGCACACTGAGCTCCTGTCTGTCTCTATCTCTCCTTCAGATCTTTATGTCCCATGTAAGTCACTAACCAGATTTCTCTCTGAGTCTCTTAGCTTCCCCTGGACTAATGCTGCAGACAGTCCGCCGTGAAACTGCCTGACCCCAGCTGCATCGTCTTCGACTGTCCACCTCAGGCCCTGAGCTCCGCCATCTCTTAGGCTCCTCTGGACCATTGCTGCAGACACGTACGTCAGCCTAACTGATATTAATAAAATAACACTAGAGTAAACTGCCATTGAGTTTTAACTTTAATCACCTTAAATAAATTTAACATAGTCCATAATTAGTTACTTCATTATCCTGTACATTGAAGTCATTTTCTCCCATCAAATTGGTAACCAGATCTCTCTGTATGTCTCTGAGCCCCCAGTCTCCTAGGTTGCTCTGGACTGATCCTACAGATGGCTGGCTGCTGCAGACCTGCCTGACTCCAGCCGCATCGTCTATGATTATCAGCCTCAGGCCCTGAGCTCCTTCTTCTCTTGGGTTCCTCTGGACTGTTTGGGTTCCTCTGGACTGTTACTGCAGACATGAACATCAGCCTCACTGACATTAATAACATAAAACTAGAGTTAACTACTATTAGGCCTGCTGACTGTAATCACATTAAATTGATTTAACATAGTCCATAATTACTCATATCCTAACCCTGTAAACTGAATTCATTTTGTTTCACCATTACATGAGTCATTACTCATTTTCTCTCTCCTCCCCTCTATCTAGTTCTCTCTCTCTCTCTCTCTCTCTCTGAGTGAGATGGCGTGTGAGTGCTGAGAGCTGAGAGTGAATCGAACTTCGATTCAATTTTGTGAGTTTTTCAGACTTTATTTCTCTTTTCTTTTGGTGTGAGTGTGTTTATGAGTTGTTTGTCTATTATTTAGTGTTAAGAGGGTTGTGTTTTGTTGAGTGTGTGAGTGTGTGAGTGCTTTGTTTGGTGGGCGGCGTGCTAACAGCACAATGCCGGTAGCAGAGGCTGCAGCCGCGGAGTTTGAAAAGCTAACTCGCCGGCATGGGATAAAGCTGAACCCCGCGGTGCAGTGCTCGGTGGAGGAAGCCAGCCTGGCTGTGGGAGAGGTGGTCGGGTATGACTCGGTAAAGTCTGCCTCAAGGATGAACGGGGCGATTGTGATTTTTTTAAGCAGTACGGTGCTGGTTAACGAGGTGGTGGAGAAAGGAGTAGTGATTCATGACACCTTTACTCCGGTCTCCCCCCTCGTTAGCCCGGCCACAAAAGTTACGATTTCTAATGCTCCCCCGTTTATAAAACATGAAACCCTGGCGAAAGAACTGTCCAGGTACGGACAAGTGGTGTCACCCATTAAAATGGTCTCTCTGGGCTGTAAATCCCCCAAACTTAAGCATGTAGTGTGTCACAGGAGACAGGTATACATGATCCTGAAAGACAAAACTAATGATTTAAACCTGTCGTTTTCCTTTAAAATAGAAGGATTTGTTTATATTGTGTTTGCGTCGTCAGAGACCATGAAATGTTTTAGTTATGATGCAGAAGGCCACTTGATTCGCTCCTGTCCGGAGAAGGAGGGAGCACAGCGGCCGGCTGCCGCTGCTGCTGGGGGTGCTCCGCCCGCTGCTGCAGCCGCCGGGGCCGCTGCCGTCGGGGGTGCTCCGCCCGCTGCTGCGGCCGCGGGGGGTCCGCCCGCTACTGCGGCCGATGGGGCCGCTGCCGTCGGGGGTGCACCGCCCGCTGCTGCGGCCGCTGCCGCCGGGGGGGGGTCCGCCCGCTGCTGCGGCCGATGGGGCCACTGCCGTCGGGGGGGGGTCCGCCCGCCGCTGGGGAAGAGTTGAGTGTTGCTGCTGTGACCGGGGTCACAGCAGCAGAAACGGTCAGTCCGGCCCATGAGGGGCCCTCCACAGTCTCGGTGCCTCCGGTTGCTGAGGGCTGCTTGGAGCGAGAAGAGCTCATGTACTCAGACTCAGCAGACGAGAGCATGAGCAAAGTGCTTAACGATGATTTTATGGAGGAGGACATGTCTGATGATGAACATGATGATGAACATGATGATGTCTCAAAAAAGGAAACACATTGTGACTGTTAAAAAGAACAAAAAAACGAAAAAAACGATCATGAGGAAGACCCCAGAGTCAGAGAGGGACTTCTCTTTTACACAAGACTCTCAGTCGCCGTACTCCCCGGCTCAAATCAAAACCTTCCTGGCACTGATTAAAGGCTCCAGGCAGCCCAATATAAAAGAGTATTACCCAGACCTGCGCTCTTTTATGAAGTCAGCCAGACCCCTCACCAGGAAGAGCCATGGGGAGGAGGTTTTAACAGAACAAGAGGTCTTCAGACTCAAAAAGGTTTTAGGGAGGGTAAAAGAGCAATTCATCAGTGACGAAGATGAGTTTTAGATGCTTTTACCCTTTACTGACTGTTCTCCTGAGTGTTTTTTTATTTTTTATCCATGTG